AATTAAATAAAAATAAATAAATAAATTTCCTGGGGAAAAAAAAATCCAGGAACATAATCAAGAAACTGTGAAAACATCTGAAACTCAACTAGACTAATTTCTCTAATGTATTGTATAAGTGGCTCCTACATGTTAATACAAAAGAGGCTAACCATCTTTCCCTAAAATGAAACAATATAAACAGAAATACAAAAAAAAAAGAAATAGCGATGGTTTCTAATAAAATAAAAAGATATTCAACCTTTCTTACAAGATAAAGTTAGAACACTACCAGGATACCTTTTTTAACTCTAAAATTGAATACAATCAAAAAGTTCTATATGGCCCTGGCTGGTATGGCTCAGTGGACTGAACACTGGCCTACTACCCAAAACGCTGCAGGTTCAATTCCCAGTCAGGGCACATGCCTGGACCTGTATGTAGCCAGGTCCCCAGAAGCAGGAGTACAAGAGGCAATTGATGCCTCTATTTCTGGCACACTGATGTTTCCCTCCCTCCCTTCCTTCCCCTCTAAAAGTAAATAAAATATTTTTTAAAAAATCCTTCAACAACTACATAAATCATGGTAAACTGATGGTAAATCAATTATACCACCCACGGTATAATTCCATATTTAATTGCATATATACATATGTGTGTATATATGTGTGTGTATATATATACACATACATATATATACACATACATATATATACATGTATCCGTCTATTGAATAAACAGAATATTTACTCTGTACTAGTTTCTTGTTAGTCAAGGGGAGTTGGGTAGCCTATGGGACAATAGTAGTTAAGAGACCTTCTACAGTACATCATTTTATGCTGCCTGAAAAAGTGTATGCGTATATAAATGTATACATAAATCACCACTCGGAAAATTGTTAACATCAGTTGTATCTCTACCCTATTCCTATTTCTCTACATAATTGAGATTACACTATAAGTATAACTTTATATCCTACCTTTTATATGACCAATAGGAATTCACTTGTTATTAAAAATTCCCCATATATGGCACTTCATTAGAATATTCCAACTAGACGCAAAGTGGGTGGTCCTTGCGAAGAACTGACAAGATGGCGGAGGCGGAGCAGAAGAAGAAGCGGCCTTTCTGCAAGTTCACCTACTGCAGCATGGATCCTGACCAGCCACTGGACAAGTCCTATGAGCGGCTGAGGCAGCTCACAGCTCTACAGTGCCAGGAAGAGGCGGTGGCCGAAGCGGCACTTACCGCTAAAGCGCCTGTGCAAGGCCAAGAAGGAAGCGCAGCCCAAGGAGAAGCCGGAAATGGTGAAGACGCACCTCCGGGACTCGATCATCCTGCCAGAGATGGTGGGCAGCATGCTGGGCGTGTACAATGGGAAGACTTTCAACCAGGTGGAAATCAAGCCAGAAATGACTGGCCACTACCTGGGCGAGTTCTCCATCACCTACAATCCGGTACAGCATGGCCGGCCCATTATTGGAGCCATTCACTCCTGCCCCTTGGTCCCTCTCAGGTAGCCAATAAAAGCAGACTTACTTAAAAATAAATAAATAAGAGGAACACTCTATCTTTACTTATGTTTGAAAATTTTCATAACACTATGAATTTTTAAAAATATATCTATAAACATTAAATGGCTATTAAATTCAATGTGATAAATATGTATTATAATATCTTATCCATTCTCCAGCCATTTGGCCTTCAAGTTATTTCCAGCCTTTATCAATCATTAAATATCAGTAAATCTGTTCATATATTTGGGCCCACATTTCAGATTACTTCTTTAGGTTCCTGAAATTACTGTCTATAAATATTTAAAACTAGTGGTAGGTATCATACTCTATATAGGTTGTACCAATTTAAAGTCTAACCAACAAGATACCCATTTCAACAAAAACATTAAGGATTACCTCTCAGGGTTTTTAAAAATATATTTTATTGATTATGACATTACAGTTGTCCCATTTCCCCCCTTCATTCCCCTCCCTCCTGCACACCTCCTCCCCCCAGTCCTCCCATTTAGTTCAGGTCCATGTGTCACAAGTTATTTAGCTTCTATATTTCCCATACTCTTCTTGCCCTCCTCCTATTTTCTACCTACCATCTATGCTTACTCTCTGTACCTTCTCCCCCCTTCTCCTCCTCCCACTCCCATTGCTAACCCTCCATGTGATCTCCATTTTTATGGTTCTGCTCCTGATCTACCTGTCCTCTTAGTTTGCTTTTGTTTTAGGTGTGGTTGTTAATAACTGTGAGTTTGATGTCCCTTAACTGTTCATATTTTTTAGCTCCTTTTTCTTAGATAGGTCCCTTTAACATTTCATATAATAAGGACTTGGTGATAAATTCCTTTACCTTGACCTTATCTGAGAAGCACTTTATCTTGCCCTTACATCCTAAATGATAGCTTTGCTGGATAGAGCAATCTTGGATGTAAGTCCTTGCCTTTCATGACTTGGAATACTTCTTTCTAGCCCCTTCTTGCCTCTAAGGTACCTTTTGAGAAATCACCTGACAGTCTGTTTGGAACTACTTTGTAGGTGGTTGTCTCCTTATCTCTTGATGCTTCTAGGATTCTCGCCTTCATTTTAATCTTGGCTAATATAATGATGATGTGCCTTGGCGCGCTCCTCCTTGGGTCCACCTTCTTTAGGACTCTCTGAGCTTCCTGGACTTCCTGGAAGTCTATTTCCTTTGCCAGATTGGGGAAGTTCTCCTTTATTATTTGTTCAAAATTTTCCACTTGTTGCTCTTCCTCTTCCCCTTCTGATACCCCTGTAATTCAATGTTGGAATATTTACAGATGACCTGGAGGTTCCTAAGTCTCCTCCTTTTTTTGAATTCTTGTTTCTTCATTCTTTTCTGTTTGGTTGTTTCTTTCTTCCTTCTGGTCCACTCCATTGATTTGAGTCCCAATTTTCTTCCATCACTATTGGTTCCCTGTGTATTTTCCTTCATTTCACTTAGTGTAGCCTTCATTTTATCATCTAATTTGTGACTAAAATCAACCAGTTCAGTGAGCATCCTGATCACCAGTGTTTTGAACTATGCATCTGATAGGTTGGCTATCTCTTGGTCGGTTAAAAGTATTGGCTCTGGAGCTTTGAGCTATTCTGCTTGAGGCACAATATTTTGGTCTGTTCTCACAGGTTACATATGAGGGACAGAGGCTCAGGTGTTCACCAGGGTGAGTCAACCCAAGTCGTTCGGTTGTGATGTTGTATGTGGGGGCGGGGGTAGAGAGGGAGCAATGGTGTTCCTCCCACTCCTGCTCTCTCTCTTATCTCAGTCCCTCTGCCACCTCCCACAAGCAAATTGGGCCCTTCTGGTGCTCATTCCCAGGTGGGTGGGTTTGTGTATGTTCTAGGACCATGTAGGTCTCTCCAATGATCTCTCTTGTGAGGCTGAGAGCCTCTCCCAGCACCTCAATCCCTGAAAGTTTTTTCAATTAGTGCTTTTAGGCTTTATTTCCCAGTGCTGAGGCCCTGCGTTACACAGTCTGTCTCACTGTCCGTTTTTTCACCTGGTTTATCTGCGTATGAATGTGTGACCGCAGTCAGCCAGCTGCCTTGCGCCCTCACTGGGTCTGCCCATTGCCACCCCAAACCTGGGATCTGCCAACCACTGCCTGGGCACCTGGGTTGGTCGGGCAGCCACCACTTTTTCCTGCCGCCACCCTTTTCGGCAGGGCGCCAACTCTGCCCCTCTTACCGGTATGGATGAATGGTTCATTGTTGTTGGGCTTCCATATAGCTCAATTTTCTGTCTGTTTTGGTGATGTTTTTGTTTCTAAATCTTTGTTATCCTTAAATTTGGTTGTCCAAGGAGATAAAGTGTTTCCACCTATACCTCCATTTTGGCCGGAAGTCCTACATCTCGTTTTTTTAATCTTTGCAAACCCAGCAGAAGGATAGAGTTTCATTTCAATAATGTTAAACAAACATTTTCCCATGTTTACTACTCCTTTGCATCTTTGTTGTACAAACAACTTCTCCTTCATTGGGGGGGGGGGCGGGTATGACTGTTAGTGTTTTTATTGATGTTTTAAACTCCTTATAGTTTACAGATGTTAATTCTTTTCCCTAGTTTTATTATTTCTCTGAAAAAGACCATTTTGATTTATTAAAAGAAAAAGAAGAACTATCATAAGGCTTTAGAGTGATTATTTTGATGTTATTTTTTCTTCTGACTTTTAGAACAATCTTACATGTTAGGTTGTATCATAAAAATATACTGAAGATCATTTCATTTCATAGTTTATAAGCTATCTACACATTAAGACAATAAGTTCAAACAGAGAAAAAAGGTTTGGAGTATATATAACTTAGAAAGGTTTGGAGTATACATAACTTAGAAAGGTTTGGAGTATATATGACTTAGAAATCAAAGAAAACTGAAGTTATTTTTTTTAATATTTTATTTACTTATTTTTAGGGAGTGGAAGGGAGGGAGAAAGATAGATAAGAAGAAAAACATCAGTTTGTGAAAGAGACATTTGATCCATTGCCTCCCACATACCCCAACTAGGACCAGCTCCCAACGCAGACATATGTCCTGACCAATAACCAAACCAGCAACCTTTCTGCAACCGCTTGGTTCGCAGGCCAGCACTCAATCCACTGAGCCACATCAGCTAGGGCTGAAGATTAATTTTAACAAAATTCTATTCCCAAAGGCAGATTCTAACGGTTCTATTTTGGAACTCTACAGGCTGCTCTGTTCAAATTGTGAAGGCTATGCTGATCATGACTCATATAAAAGGTTATCAATAAATCCCTGCACGTGTTGTTACTTGAAGCCCATCTAACGTATTATTTACCTTTGGAGCCATTATTAGAAATAAAAGTCAATTCTAAGTAATGAGATAAATATGAATGCACATGGGTATTTTATCAGGGAAATTAAAAAACTGTAATACAGAGAAAGTGACTTCATTAAAAAAAGGAAGTGGGGCAATCTGGTTAGTGAAACAGAAAAGGACTACATAGAACCAAGAGAAGAAAAAACAGCATGATTACCTCCCACCAAGTCCTTCGATTCGTTCTCTTTCCTTGGGAAGTTCTGGCTTATGGTCCTGTGTTACTTCCACAGCTCTGACAAAATCATCCTTTGGGTCATCTTGAATTCCAAGAACCACGCCTGAATCACCAACGTGAGCTACATACATTTTCATGCCCCGTATGATGACCACACTGGCTGTTGTCCCTGATGTGCTGGGAAGACCTGTCATAGTCTTTGGCCATTCCGCTATAATAAGAAATAAAATATTTTACTCTTCCAAGTATAAATATTAGCCTATGTTTTATTCTGATACATAAAACTGTATCAGAATTAAAATGGCAACATATGCTGAATTAGCATGCTAAAATTTGAATTAGCAATGGAAAAAACTTAAGAAAAGTATTTTGAAAGCTATTAACAGACTTGCATTAATCCTTTCATCAATACAGGTTGGGCCAAAAGTAGCTTTACAGTTGTGAGCATGCAAAACAGTTTATTCTTGTATTACTATTTATTAATTATTGTATTTTAAATTTTTTAATTGACTTTAGATAGGAATGGAGGGAGGGAGAGAGAAAGAGAAAGGGAAACAGATGGACATCAGTTAGTTGTTCCATTTATTTATGCATTCATTGGTTGCTTCTTGTATGCACCCTGACAGATCAAACCTGCAACCTTGGCATATTGGGACAATGCTCTAACCAACTCATCTACCTGGCCAGGGCAGATTTATTATGTTATTTTTGCATATGAACAACTTTTCATATGAATGTATACCTACTTTTGCCCCAACCTGTATATCAATAAATTAATTTTATAAATAATGCAATTACCTTACCACCATCAAACCAATCCTAGGAGAAAAATATTACAGTATACATTTACTTGTTTCACATGAAGTTTAGATCTAACTACATTTAATGGCAACAATGCGTTAAAAGTTTTGATAACACAGAGCCAGTAGCTTAGCATCTGCTTATTAATCTCTGTGAAAAGATTTTCAGAGAGAGTTACGTAATTTATTTTTGAAATAACTATTTGGAACATTCACAGCCTAACAGCATTTTTTAGTACATACTATGTACCAGATTCTGTGTTAAGAGCTTCACATGTATTATCTCAAATAATACTTGGAACATACCCATGCAATAGATAAAACTATTCCCATTATTTTCATTTGGCGGACAAGAAATCAATACTTTGAATAGTTAATAAACTTGTTCAAGATAACTCAAATGTTAAGTGGCATAGACCCCATATATCTAATTCTAAAACATATATTAGTTAATTAAATCTGTCATTTAAAATCCTGAAATATTCTGTAATATTCAACTACAACATACAGTTCAAAATAGCAGACTGAGTTCAAACAGTGATGTATTCTTTCCTCCAAAATCCCACTGAAAAAATAGGATATAAATATTAGAAAAAGCAAGCTCATAATAGACATGAAATACATGGAAGGATCATAAGCATATCTGAGGATGACAGAAATGAGATCAGAAAGGACATTCTCGGGTCTCTGGAATATAGGCAATGTTATGTTTCCTTCTTAACCAGATACTATTTGTTTTATAATTATTCAAAGTGTACATTTATATTTTATAGCCTTTTCAACATGTTGCTATGTTATATTTCACAATATTTTAAGGTAAAAGAAAACATCAATTTTACAGGCATAGATCACAGCAGACAGCTCCCTAGCCCATCCAGTTTTAGGGTTTGGTTATAAATGTCATTCCTAGCAGCTCGGCATAGTGTATTCTGTATGTATCTTTAGCCCTTTTAGTTCTCTTGTGGGTTAACTACAGCTTTTACTAAAACCTTTTCTTTTTAAACTGGCTAAAATAGATCTGTTTTCTGCAGCTGAAACTCTAATTTAAAAAAAAAAATCTATTATCGACTTCCGCCAAGATGGAGGCATAGGTGGAGACGCTGTGCTTCTTCACACAACCAAGTTTAGAGACAACTAAATATTAGCAACAGAAAACACAACCAGAACACAGAAAATTGAACTTTTCGGAAGTCTGATAACAACAAATTCTTCAGCCTGACCGGTAAGAGGTGAACCAGCTTCTTCACCAGCAGCTGGTGAAGCGGGATTGCACAGGAAAACTCGGTCAGACAGACTCAGGGGTGCGCAGAACCCAGGCACAGGGTTGAAAGGGGTGGACCTAGTAAGCGACCCAGCGAGTGACTGCGGGGAACCAGCCAGGGAGCAGGGCCGAGATTTGACTGTGGTCGCACATTCATGCGCAGATAGACCAGCGAGGAGTGGGCAGTTAGACAGGACCCAGCAGGCCCAGGGGCAAGAGGCAGCACAGGGTGCCGCCATTTCCCCACTCTGACCCCACCTCCACATGCAGCATCATAACCCAGCAACTCTGAGTGGCCCCGCCCAGGTGAACCACCTAAGGCTCTGCTCCTCACCCAGCTGTGCGAAACAGCAGAGGGGGTCGCCATTTCCCCACTCCGACCACGCCCCCACATACAGTGTCACAACCCAGTGACCTGGGAGTCTAAGGCTCTGCTCCTCATACTTAAAGGGCGCGAACAGACCAATAATGGCTCAAGAAGATCTCAAAGCCCCAGAGCCTATAAATCTAAGCCATGAAGAAATAGCAAAACTCTCAGACGCACAGTTTAAAACACTGGTGATCAGGATCCTCACAGAACTGGTTGATTATAACCTCAAATTAGAGAAACATATGAAGGCAAAACTAACTGAAATGAAGGAATTGCACAGGAAACCAATAGTGATGAAAAGGAAACTGGGACTCAAATCAATGGAGTGGACCAGAAGAAAGCAAATAATGGCCAAACAGAAAAGAGTCCAGAAGCAAGAATTCAAAGAAATGAGGAGAGTCTTAGGAACTTCCAGGACATCTTTAAACTCTCCAACATCCGAATTATAGGGTACCAGAAGGGGAAAAGGCACAGCCACCAGTGGAAAACTTATTTGAACAAATAATAAAGGAGAATTTCCCCAATCTGGAAAAGGAAATAGACTTCCAGGAAATCCAGGAAGCTCAGACAGTCCCAAAGAAGTTGGACCCAAGAAGAAACACTCCAAGGCACATCATCATTACATTAGCCAAGATTAAAATGAAGGAGAGAATCCTAGAAGCAGCAAGAGCTAAGGGGACAGTCACCTACAAAGGAGTTCCCATCAGACTGTCAGCAGATTTCTCAAAAGAGACCTTACAGGCAAGAAGGGGCTGGAAAGAGGTATTCCAAGTCATGAAATCCAAAGACCTACAACCAAGATTGCTCTATCCAGCAAAACTTTCATTTAGAATGGAAGGACAGATAAAGTGCTTCTCAGATAAGATCAAATTCAAGGAGTTCATCATCACCAAGCCCTTATTATATGAAATGTTAAAGGGACTTATCTAAGAAAAAGAAGTTAAAGAAACATGAACAGTGAAAGGACAACAAACTCACAGTTATTAACGACCACACCTAAAACAAAAGCAAACTAAAAGGACAGCTAGATCAGGAGTGGGAACATAGAAATGAAGATCTCAAGGAGGGTTAGCAACAGGGGAGTGGGAGGAGGAGAAGGGGGGAGAAGGTACAGAAAATAAGTAGCATAGATGGTAGATAGAAAATAGATGGAGGGGCAAGAATAGCATGGGAAATATAGAATCTAAAGAACTTGAGACACATGATCATAAACTAAAGGGGGGGTAATGGTGGGGACGGGGGGTAGGGTGGAGGGGAATGAAGGGGGGAATAAAACAACTAATGGCATAATCAATAAGAAAAATAAAATTAAATTTAAAAAATCTATTATCATAATAAAGGTAAATGAGATGAACTCCCAGAAAGAATGGTAAGCATGTTTAGAAAGCAAATACCTACAATATGCAAGTACTTCAGCTGTTTGCAAAAAGCACCTAAAACAAATGGAAAAGGAAAAAGAGCTAAAAATAAAAAGATATTTAAAGACACAATATTAACATTATTTAAATCACATTTCTGGTCAAAAGCTCTATATGTACAAAGAGATATGCTGCAATAATCTAAAAATACTGAATGCTTCCCTATTCATTTGAAATGTCACCTTTTATCATATGCTACATTTTGCCTCAGATCTATTTCTGGACTCATCCTACTAGTCTATTTATGGTGCTTTTTAATAATAGGGATTTTAAGTATCCCCCAATTATTCTTCCTTTTCAATGTTCTCTTAAGTATTTTTCCAAATAAACTTTAGGTACCTTGCAAAATTCAAAAACAAACCCTGTTGAGGTTCTAAAGTGCGGTATACAGGGTGGGGCAAAAGTAAAAGTAAGTTTACAGTTGTTTGCATGGAAAATAATTAAACTCAGTGTTTCAGGTACTCAAAACTATAAACCTACTTTTGCCCCACCCTGTATTTGTATATTAAGGAAGTGACATCTTTGAAGTTTGTCTTCCTTAATTCATCTTCCTTGTTTTCTGTTTTCTATTTGAATATTTTCATTTTTAAAAAATTTATATTGATTGATTTTTAGAGAGACAGGGGGAAGGAGAGAGAAAAAAAGACAAATATCGATTTGTTGTTCCATGTACTGATGCATCCTTTGGCTGCTTCTCATATGTGCCCAGTAGGGGGATCGAACACACAATCTTGGCACACATACCAGGACAACATTCTAACCAACTGAGCGACCTGGCCAGGGCTTGAATCTTCTGATTTTTAAAAAATGATAATAGATGCATATCAAAAAGACAGTATCAGATAGTACATGAAGTCTAACTTAAGGAAAGTATGGTAAGCAAGAAAATATGCATCAGCTCTTTATGTACTTACCACATACCAAGTAATATATACGGAGTCGTTTAACTCTCAGGAGATAGGCACTAGCATTATCTCTATTTTAGAGATGAGGATACTCTGGCACAAGGAGGTTTTACCCAGGGTCACACAGTAATAAGTGGAGATACTGGAATTCAAACTCAGCCAATATATTATACTCCTAATCACTGTGCTAAGAGTTCCTACAGAATGCTAATGCCAAAGAACTATGAAGATGTAAAAGCCTTCAGGAAAGCAATTTGAAAATGTGTATCAACAGGCCACAGCCAGTGTGGCTCCACTGTCTGGGTATCATCCAGGAAAGTGAAAATTCGCGGGTTGGATTCCCAGTCAGGGCACACACCTGGCCTGCGGTCCAATGCCTGGACGGGACATGTATGAGAGGCAACTGATAGATATTTCTTTCTCTTTCTTCCTCACTCCCTTCCCCTCTCTCTAAAAA